ATTAAAAGTTATTAAGTTATTAATAATACTTAAGTATAAAAGAGTTAAATGGATTTATTTAGTAACTATTATTATACTATTATTATACATTAGTTACATGTATATTATAAAATTTGATTATCGCCTTAATAAAATATTCTGTGGTACTTTAGTGGTGATAGGAACAGTAGCTTCTTTAATAATAATTTTTAATTGTAAAGAATTATTAAAAAATTCAATATCCTATTGGATTTGTTTATACTTAGGATTTTTAATAGAATCAATGGATTTTCCACCCCTGTTTAACTACACCACAGACTCGCATTCATTATGGCACATGATGTTACTTTTAAGTATTCCATGTTATTATAAAATGCTTGAAACAGAATTTTTATTAATAAAATTTTAATTAAATAATGAATTTTCCAACACTAACAAAGATAAGTAAATTTAAGTATGGAAATTATGAAATGAAACCTTCCTATAAAACCAATCTTAAGAGTGGAGATGGTGTATTAAGTGTGTGTTATAGATGTTTAAGTCAATTTATAACAGAAAAGTCACTTGAATTACACTTAGAAGAATGTAAGACAGTTCCATTTAAATCAATTTATGAAGAAAATGATTCTCTTAAAATATCAAGAATAACTAGTTTGAATTTAAGACAGTTACTTTCTCAATTAGGAGAAATGTTTATAAAAACTAAAACAGTATCAGTAGATATTGAGAGATATGAATTTTATGTTTTAATTAGTGATGAGAGAATAGTTGGTTATTTTTCTAGACACATGGAATTTGATGCATCCTTGTCGTGTATTTTGGTATTTCCATGCTTTCAACGACAGGGTTTTGGAACTTTTTTAATTGACTTTTCACAAGCACCCATTTTTAAATCAAAAGTCATTAAAACTACTGATCAGATACTAGAAGAATCTAGGAAGAAAATTCATATTAATGATGATGAATTGAATGATAAACTAGAGTGTCCTAATGGACCCGAAAGACCTTTAAGTAAAGCAGCAATATTTTTATATAGAAAATACTGGAAATATAAAGTAATAGGAGCTAAAACAGTAAAAGATATTGCTTTAAGAAGAAATATAAGTATAGAAGATGCTATAATAGGATTAGAATTAATAGGATTTGATTTTAAAGAGTGGAAAATGAAGAATGAAAAAATTGATGTAGAAAAACCAAGATTGTTAAAAAATCAAGTTGTTTTATGTAAAAAAAAATTATAAAATTTATTAATAACAGCCAACTTCATCAGCAATTTTTTCAAGTCCCAACTCTTCAGCAAAAGCTTTATAATATTCGTATCTCTTTTTACTTTTATCAACATTTTGACCTGTGCATTCAAGTTCACCATTAATAGCTTTAGTTGAATATCCAAAATGTTCAGGTCCTACATTTTCAGCTGTCATAACTCTTTCCATCCAAAACCAGAGTGATGTAAGAATTGCATTTTTAGGTTCAGCTACTAACTCTGGTTGTTCAAAGAATGAAAGATCATTATTAATTGCTTGTGAAGCTGCTTTATAATTATCTGGCCAACTTAACTGTATAAATCCTCTACCGTAATATTGTTTACCTGGTGCTCCTTGATCTGCTCCATATTTATCTGGGCATTTATTGTCTTTACAGTCAATTTCTTCTATAAATTTAAAACAACCTGATTCATGTCCAAATTGACCAAGTGCTTGTACTTTCATATCAAACGGTAGTTCTTCTTCACTTTTTTCATTAATTCCTTCTGCAACTGCATCTACATATTCTGGATTAGGTTCATCTCCCATTTTACTACAAGCATTCATAATTTTTTCTGATGTAATTTTACCA